ATACTGTGTCTCGTAAGCTTGAGTCTCCCCTCCTCTCGAACCCGGACACCGACGAGCCGATCCGAGCGTCGAGCGAGGTGACCGCGTTACATTAGTCATAGTGTAAACTATTTGAGTCGATATCAGAATAGTTTTAATGGGACACATTGGAAGTATGCTTTGCGAATCTTGAAATACTTATACTCAACAAAAGATTTGAAGTTGCAGTATAAAAGAAATAAAAATTGCGATATTATCGATTGTTATGTAGACGCAGATTGGGCTGGCGATAATGTAGATAGAAAGTCTACTTCTGGATATGTTATTAGATTTTTCGGAAATGTAGTTGATTGCCAATCGCGGAAATAAAAGTGTGTAACAAAAGCTTCTACTTATGCTGAGTATGTAGCACTATCTGAGGCAGTCAGTGAAGTGAAATTTATACGAGAGTTGATAAGAATGTTTAATGTACAAGTGAGTGATCCTGTAAAGATTTTTGAAGACAATTCTGGAGCAATAAACATTGCGAATTATGGAAACTTCACAAAAAATTCAAAGCATATAGAAGTACATTATCATTATGTACATGAAAGTGTGAAAGAAAACTTGATTGAAGTATGTAAGGTTGTTTTGGATGAGAATGTTGCAGATATATTTACTAAGGCATTGTGTAAAGAAAAGTTTAAAAAATTTAGAATGTTAATAAATATCAGTTAAAGAGAAAATGAAAGCGTACAATATAAATGTAAAGAGGTGTGTTAGAATATATGTACATCTATATTGTACGATATCCAAAGTAAATACGTATGTAATTAAAGGTCAAGAATATTGTACACGATAATGTATAATATGTGAGCGCGCTTTAGTAGGAGTGGCATACATGTACACGTCCCCTTCCCTGTGTGTGTGCTGGTACGTGATGGGAGAGAGCGAATCTAGACAGTAACTCACGAGACACTGCTGTTAAGACCCGCGTAGAGAATGGAGCATTTATTAATGTATAACTAGAATAATTATTAAATAGACTTTTGTTTCTCACTCCGAGAGTATTACCGGATCCACAATCCTTTCAGTATTAAATATATCTTTTTCTTTAATATTAAATATTTGGCTGTGAGCGACGAAAATGTGACATGTACACTTATGGACGCACAGAGGACGAAAGAAAGTTTTAAGGTTTGTTTATTACCATAGTGATATATCGATCAGTTTAAACGTCTTATAAAAGACAATTTTTAGATGTCTTTTCAAAAAAGTCTTGAAGATGTCTTTAAGACGTCTCATTGTAAAGTCTCAAAAAAAGACCTCTTAAAAATATATCTTAAAAATGTCTTTAAGACGTCTTATTGTAAAGTCTCGAAGACCTCTTAAAAATATGTCTTAAAAATGTCTTTAAGACGTCTTATTGTAAAGTCTCGAAGACCTCTTAAAAATATGTCTTAAAAATGTCTTTAAGACGTCTTATTGTAAAGTCTCGAAGACCTCTTAAAAATATGTCTTAAAAATGTCTTTAAGACGTCTTATTGTAAAGTCTCGAAGACCTCTTAAAAATATGTCTTAAAAATGTCTTTAAGACGTCTTATTGTAAAGTCTCGAAGACCTCTTAAAAATATGTCTTAAAAATGTCTTTAAGACGTCTTATTGTAAAGTCTCGAAGACCTCTTAAAAATATGTCTTAAAAATGTCTTTAAGACGTCTTATTGTAAAGTCTCGAAGACCTCTTAAAAATATGTCTTAAAAATGTCTTTAAGACGTCTTATTGTAAAGTCTCGAAGACCTCTTAAAAATATGTCTTAAAAATGTCTTTAAGACGTCTTATTGTAAAGTCTCGAAGACCTCTTAAAAATATGTCTTAAAAATGTCTTTAAGACGTCTTATTGTAAAGTCTCGAAGACCTCTTAAAAATATGTCTTAAAAATGTCTTTAAGACGTCTTATTGTAAAGTCTCAAAGATCTCTTAAATATATGTCTTGAAAATGTCTTGAAGACGTCTTTTGGTAAAGTCTTAAAGACATCTAAAAAAAGACGTCTTTAAGACATTTTTTAGACGCGCATGTTGTCTGGGTTGTTTTCAATATTCGTTTTATTTAGAATACAAGGAGCGAGCGACGGCACGTATTCCGCGAATCCGACGGAAATCTTCAAATGTCCTGTTAATGATTGCCCTTTTTCGCGGTTCGGAAATCTTGATTAAAAGCTTCTTGCTAGAAACTCTCGCGAGAGCGGAAATCTTGCACGCGAACGCCAGATGGAATTTGGCGTGAGGCAGAGGACATTCGCGATGCGGTTAACTAGCGTCAACTCTCGGACTCCACACAATTAACGTTCACAATGTCTTAGCACTAACTGATTTGAAGAATACAGTTGGAGATATGACCGAATTTTTTTCTTTGTTATGGTCACGCGCCGATCGGCTGATCGCGACGATGCTTATTCTCGCTCGGGTTTTGATCGCGGCTCTTACCGTTCAGATTTGCCGGTTAAATTTACAGTTTAAATTTATCGATTAAATTCAACGTTTCAATCTTGAACAAAACTTCTTATTTTACGTGATACAATGCAATGAGCTTTTTAAAAATTCCATTTCCTCCAATTTTTTGCTCTAAATGAAGAAAAGTCTATTTGTTTCTTTGCTTGTAATTCTTCATTTTTGCAAATCTATGTCGTGAATAATAGAGCCTCTATCAATAACTTCTTGGAATTGTGTTAGTACATATTCGGCAATAAATACAAATTTGTCTCTGTTTGACTCTCCGCGCATTACATTTTCTTCCCATCTATAGAATTGCAAAACAGATTTTATTTAAAAGAAAAGTTTAATATTTAGAAAATCTAATTCAAAAATAAAAAGACTAATGAACTAACCCGAAGGGCGGTAGAACGGAGAGAGGAACGGTTAGCGCCGATACGAGCGCGCTTATCGCGTTTTGGGGCAAGTTTTTTTCGTTTCCCGGCGACGATGCGCGTCCGGTGACGAGACGCGTCCGAAGGCGAGTATCCGGCTCGGTTAATCGGGGCGCGTCCTCGTTATTTTTCCCCGTTATAAAAGGATGTCGCGACGATCTCGAGGTATTAGTACGTTCGCGAATATTCGCGGCGCGATGAAGCGCGTACCGAGCGCTTTATCGAGATTAGCCGGAAGAGTGGTAAATATTCGAATTTGAAGTATCGAAAATATACAGAATTTGGAAATACCGAATTGTTTGAAAAAGGAACTACGCGAATGTTATATAGAGGACTGTCCGTACTGTAGAGAAAAGATCGGCCTCGCGGAAGAGTTCGTGCAAGAGGCGAGCGAGGCGCGATTCGACGAGCCTTTCTCGAAGGTCGGAGCCGATGGCTATCTGCTTTATCGCAATTGGAAACAGCGATACGGAGTTCCGAGATTTTCGTGGGAGGTGAATCACGTCGTGCATTGCTTCTACACGTTCGGTTGCCGATTCGAGAACGGAAATTATTTTGAGGAAGACGAGAAATATTGCGTGGATTGCGGGCATAGATCGAGTTTCGTGAGAAGCGTATCGACGCATATGAAAAAATCGGTGTATAGCGAGAGAGTGCCCGCTTGCGATCTTATCGACGAGGTCTTCGACGTGTCGAATAATTGGTGCGGCGGCTGCGCGACGAGAGCTTTGTTCTACATCGAGGGTTACGACGAGGAAGAGACGTGGTTTATCAATAAAAGATCTTGGCGTTCGTTGAACAACTAATGATGAATCGAGAAACGATGGAGGAGCGCGATCTTCTCGATAGCGCGCGGGACGTCGCGACGGTGGATGCGTATCGCGCGTGGGCGAGACGGTGCGACGAGCGTCTCGAGTTTCTGCGGGAGGAATGTCGAGGCGAGCGCCGGGGGAGATCCACCGGAGCGATCAATTCTCTGATCGCTCGAACCGTTCGATTGACGGGCGCGAGAGACGATCTGCGTCGGCGTTTCAAACGCGTGGGAGGCGGCGTAGAGGCGCGAGGGATTCTCGTGGTTCGAGATGGAGACAGCTTTCTCTAGACGCGTTTTAACCGGCGCGGTTATCAATTTTGATTATTTCGAACCTTTGCGATTTCTCCAGGACGCTAGAGATACCGTGCTCGATCGAGTACGCGATGTTATAGATGGATATAACAGTGTCAAGGTCAATACCGTGTTCATCGGCGAGTTCGTCTCGGGCGACAAGATTGATGTTAAGATTATCGCCACGAAGAATTATCCGCTTCTACCTCTTTCCGACTTGCGAGAGTGGTACGGGAAGCGTGTGGTCGACGCTACTCTAACTTCGCTGGAGGAGTTTCAAGAGCGTGATAGCGGATGGGCGAATACTAAATTTAACGGTGAACGTGAACAGATACAATCCTATGCGTGGTATCCTCACTACTCGACGGTATTGAA